ATTATTCTAGCTCTTTACTCCAGCCCACATGGTGCAGTAGCACTGTTGCAATTAAACCACTGAAGTGAAGGGTACTGGGGAAATAGTACAGCAGGAGTGTATCTTCTCCTTGCCAATAGCCTAGACCTTTGTCAGGGGTGAGAAAGCACAAGAGGAAGGGGAGGACCTGGGTAAGCCTAAAGAAAGAGTAGGAGCGTGAGTGGCTATTCCAGCCATACCATGAAGGGGATCATCAGCTGATGATCACAATTTGAGGGGTAAATACCTTCCTTTCCCAAAAGCCATTTAATTTCCCACACTAGAAAAAGTCTAAGTGCTTGCTTTATATGAATTTTACTCACAGTGACAAATGCAAGAACCTGTAGTTAAAGAAACATAATGCAAAATCAACAGAAATGGAAATGTGCCAAGTGATCAGTTTCTGACTTGTTCTCTCAGTCACTGTATTTAAATCCAGATAAACGCAGAGATCTTTTCACAATGTATGAAGACAAATATTTGTTGGTCAACAGATGACCCCTGCTGGTATGCAAAGTCAAAAAAATATATGCCAACTGATTGATAAATTCAACTTGAAAAACATCTCCTATTTATTATTTTTTCCAGCCTCCTTTGTGCATATTTGCCTGTGGTTTGTGCTTCACTTTGATTAATCACAGCACTCCATCAAGACTGTATCTCTTCAGTCTGTTTGGTTGCCTTCCTTTTTTATGCTTCTCTCTGTAATCAACCACATGCTATTCATTTATCAGTAGCATCTTCTCATCTCTGCTCCATGTGTCCAAAAATTTCCCTCTGATCATTTTAAAACAAGTTCCTGGCGATCTTCTTGTCTCACTGTCTGTTTATTTGGAATAGATGATTGTTAACAACAGCTTCTGTTTTCAGTGCATCTGCACAATTTGCAGTGTTATCAAATTCAGACCTTTATCAGTAATACTGTCATTATTGGTATGCTTTTTTCCATTTTCTCCTACTTATTTTACTTTGACCTAACATAAACTTGAAACTAACTTTTACAAGAGTTCACCAAAAATTCACATTATTTGGCCAGCTCATGTAATATCTTCCTTTATCCATGATCACTTCATCTTCATACATCATCTGTTTTTTAATTGGTATTATCATCACAGTTCTCCATAGTTATACTGTCTTCTTTTGGCAATTCACTCAATAACCCCAGTTCTCTCACCAACAGGGATGAGAACATAGGGAATGGAGTCGGTTGAAGCACTCACATCAATACACTGATAAAGCTACTTCCTAATGCTAAATGAAGCTTCTATATTTACCTTTACCATGTCAATCTAACAAGTTAGATCAGTCATGCATCTGAAATCACAAAGCACTTTTTTCTCTACATCATGTTGTGCACATTTCATTTCTGGAAATGATGCATTCCGCTCTGTGAATTGTTTGTGTTGTTCTTTATGCACCATGACTCTCTTGGATACCCAGGAAAGGACTTTCCGCGTATGTATATTTAACTAGATTGTTGAAGATAGATATTTCTGATATAAGCCCACTGGCGATGTGCAACAGCATACTGTCATCTCTTTTGGTAGGAGGTTTCACATTCAACATCCAGCTACCGCAACAGTTCTGCCTGAGGCTTTCCAAAGCTTCCCTCTACTGGTTAGTAGCTTGTGTGCCATTTCAGCTGTCATCCCTAGCAGAAAGCAAAATTTTTTAAAAAACACCCTTATTTGCCTCAAATAACTGCTAAAATCTTGTCACTTCGGATTACATTTTATCTTGCCTTCCAGCTTCTTGCTAAGTTTAAAAGTATGCGTTCCTTATAGAAAACTTTGTGCAGCTTATAATGTGTCCCAGAATTTTCTTTTGTTCCTTTTCATTTCTTCTTTCCATTTCATTTAGGTGTTGCTGTGTTAGTCTCCAGCAACATTTCAGCCTTAGGGACCTTCACCTTAATCACATTCTGGTTGTATTAACTCTGTGGCTTAAATAGAAGTGTTTTTTTAGTCCTCTGTCATGAAGAGCTATCTCGGTACATCCATTGCAAGATGTAGCCATTTCTGAAGCTGAAATATTATTTTTCTACAACTTTTTTCATGAAAAAACCTAACATCTGAGGAAAGTATTACAGCTGTCACAACCTCTCCTTCCATGGACTTCAGATGCTGGAAGTGATAACAAAAATGATACAAGCAAATAAATAATGTTATATTTGCATTCCTAGTGGGTGTCATTCTGTGGAAAAGTTTTCTGTACCCAGGTACATGAAGGGACAGAGCAAAGGGAACTGGTTTGGGTTTGGGTTTTTTTTTCAGTTGATCGGGTTTGTTTGGATTTTTTGCTTTGAATCTTATTGCAAACATGAATATTGTGGTCATGAGCTCTCATGGCATCTATGTCAGTAAACAGCTTGTCATTAATTTGATTTCATTCTGGCCTGATAACCTCCACAACCTTAGTGAGGCCTGCAGGTAGGATTTAACTGGGGTCCAAGACCTTGCATAAGGGAGAACATGTGGACAGCACTTTAGTTTCATGTACAGAGGGCTGCGTATGTATATGTCTTCTGAGAGACAAGTTCAGAAATCATGGTTGTAATACTGAAGTGATACTTTTATTTTGAGAGAGCAGCACTAAGGAATTTAAAACTGGAAACACATGAAAATTTGTTGTCATCATCATGTCCTTCTCTTTCCTGCTTTTTAATTAAATATCTTATTTTAAAAAGCAATTAGCAGTAGCATATCAACATAGAGATATAGTATCTGTGCATTTTTCTTAATAATTAAGCTTCAGCTATGGATTTTCTTGCTTAATGTCTATAATTCATCATTTATATGTCATTTTTACACTTATTTTCAATGTTAAAAAAGTATGCTACAAAAAAGGCAAAAGTTTATCATGTAGTTAAAGCATGAGACAGGAATTCAGACATTGCACGTTGAATCTCACTGGTGCTATAGGTTTTCTCTGTGACCTTGAGCAATCCCTCTGTACCCCTGCTCCTCATTTATTTTTTAAAGGATGATAATACTTCTTCTGTCTCTGTATTTACATTGCAAACTCTTTTTACTCTGTGTTTTATAAGATTCTCGTCGCAATAAGGATTTTATCCAAGAAATAGAGTTGCTTTTATCTATGTAAAAAGCAATATATTCCTCATGATAGGTTATCCTGTGTGAGAGGTTACACTGAGCTATGACCTGGTTGTATAAGGAGTTACTATTATTTTTAGCACATCAGTTAGAGACTTAGTTAGAGTCTCAGTCAGACTCAGAGCTTCAATGTTGCATGGCTCTTTTATCAAGAGATGATGGGCTGGTCTTACAAAGGCTTTCTACATAGCAGTAAAACAAATGTGCTTGGAATGACTATTCTACCACCCATGAAGACAACCAGTATGGAATGACCTGCATCCATACCATGAAACTCAGCCAGCACTAAGACAGGCAGGGAGGCTACATGTATGCTGTCTGCTGGGAATGGCCCCTGGCTTGTACTCGCTCCCAAACTGTATCCTAGAGTCTTGTGAGAGCTTTCTAGGCCAAAAGTTCAACAGTATGGGCAGGACAAAGAAATATTTGCAGGCTCTATTTAACAGTGGCCAGCCAAACCTTGCACTGTCATTACCCGTTCTTCTTCTGTATATAGTTATATGCTTATAATAATCTATCCCAGTCTTGCTTGGAACTACTCCATAATACATTAAACATTCCCTGGTTGCAGGAGTGAGAACGTGGGTGAGTTCAGGTGAGTCCAGTTTATATTTGTGTTTTTTTATATCAATAGGATCAATTTGGTGATTAAAGCATTCATTTGGTAGGTACACAATATGGCTTTACATCCCCTGAGCCAGTAAGAAGATTTGAACAATCTCTTGTATATTTATAAGAAAACCTAGGATTGGTACAGAGTGAAGAACCAAGTCATCTTTATGCTCTGAGGCTGTCAGATCTTATAAGAAGGTATTAAGTATGCTGCTCTGAATCTCCTAAACAGGTCTGCAGTCCTGAACACAAACCTAGTGTCTAGGGAAGAGTCAGGCTAAAGACAAATGGTTTCACTCAGCACTTCCTTCTACCTTACCTAGGGATCTCCTGGTTATTCTGGTTCTATCTTCTTGGCACAAGGTCACATTGTTTGATTCATGCCTGCCAAGTATTTGAAGCAAAGCTCATTTGTGGGCTTTAGATGGTGCCTGGTGCACATCAGAAAAGGATATTTAAGTCAATGTTTCGATGTTGCAGAAATCTGGGAATTTGGGCATGTTCAGTTCAAGGACTACAGTTTGTGTCCCATCAGATCTTGAGATGACAGCCAAGACTGGTGTCAGGCAGATGAGGTGCTTAAGGGTTTCTCCACAGAACAGCCCAAGCAAATGTCCAGCCCAAGCAAATGTCCAGCCCAGGAAGAGCTGATCGTATGAGCTGGTGATGAAAAATGGTCATTGTGCCTGCCCCAGCTACATGCTTCTCAGGTCTGTCATCAGGGGCTTGCAGGCACAGATCAGGAAGTACAGTGGCTTAGATTTCTCTCCAGCTTACACTCTAATAATACTAGAGACGTAGTAAATGTGCCCCCATAAACTGTGTGCACAGGACCTGCAAGCCTAACTCCTGGTTACTGATGCCTCACTTGGCAGAAAAGCATGTAATCTGTGTTGAAACCTAGCCCAGGCTGCTTTTGAAGGGCTTAAAGTCTAAACATATTTACCTAACAAGAGATCCTACTACAATACAAGCTTCTACACAGTCAAGGCCCACGGTATGGCTATCAGACCGCCCTAGGAATGGTGTATGTAGCTGAACTATTGACTGCCAGAATTATCATCCTAGCCCAGATACACTGCCTGTTTTTACCATGTGGGATAGAAAAACAGTATCAAACAAAAAAAAAAATTTAACTACTTATTTTGAAGTTTGAAGAGATTTTGCAAGTGTGGCTTGATCCCTTGCAACATCTGATTAAGCATTACCCTACATATTGCTTTCTGATGAGTGTTTTGTATGTTTCTGTCTCTGCAGACTGAAGAAGTCCTGAAGATTGATGGAGGGCCATGCTATTCAAACAGCAGGCGTTGCTGAGACAGAAGCTCTTTGTACTAGGCAGCCTTGCTATTGGAAGTCTCCTATATCTAGTTGCCAGAGTTGGGAGCTTGGATAGGTAAGTCACTAAGTAGCTGCTCTCTGCATCAAAAATAGGCTCAGATTGTCTCGGTTTTGCTTAAAGGGCCTGATTTCTTACTTGTTCTTTTTCTATCCCCTTTTTTAGTGTCTACTTATGTATAGAAAGACAGAAAGACTGTCTATTCTAGTACTGTTTTTCATTGTTCTTTCCTTCTCTTTGGAGAAGAGAGTAGGGAAATAGAATTGCAGGTCATCCCTGTCAAAGTATTTCTGTCTGTCCATTTGTATTCTAAGCACATTGGCACTTGTTTTCAGAGAAGAAATAAAACAGCACCCAGTAAAAATGTCATTAGAGTGGCTCGTTTTTGTCTGTGTGCATCTGTATGTTGACCTCTAGTTTCAGCAAAACAGTTATGATGTATTTATATATCGTCGTTCTAAATTTATGAGCAAGCAATTAATGTGCTACAGTGATAGTTAAAATTAAGTATGAGCCTGCAGAGTAGCTCGTCAAGTTTTGAATACTATTTCACTTGAAAGACTGCTTCAGGGTTTAAGAATTTTAACTATGTTAATTAGCCAGTATTTTCTGGAGTTGAATGTGCTAGATAAGTGCATTTTCTCTGCAAGTGCTTTCCTGGAGAACAGTAGAAAATCCAGCAGAGGAAATCAAAGAGTATTTAGCACTTTTTGACCAGGCTGAGCTTTGCCTGGTTATTGACAGTGCAACTCTAGGGCTACCTGCACTGACACTTCTGTTTCTGTCACCTTCAAATTGGCCTGGGATTGTCCTCGTAGGTGCTACACAGAGACAGGATTAGAAAAACAAACAAACAAACAAACAAACAAACAAAAACCCCAAACCTGTTTTGAAAGAATGAATGCAACAAGACTTTGAGATTTCCAGACACTGGTAGAGAGCTTGCCAGCACTAATGCTCTAATAGCACTCTTTTAAATGCTGGAAAACTGTAGTTGAGCTCCAAAATGTGACACAATATTGTGTGAATACACAGTGCATAGAAAGTGAATTGAAAATAGAGCTACATAGGGTCCACTTCTAGGTAATGTTGAACTCCATCTGAGGTCACTGGGTGCCTTCTTCAGGTGCTTAAATCTCCTCAGAATAAGAGGGAGACTGTACTCAGCTAGCACCAAGTGCATTGCAAATTAAGCACTTGTATCTTCTTTCCCTTGGTGGTCAAAGCATCAGAGATACTTCAGAGGTGAAAAATTGACTGCGACTAATGTCATTCTGGAAATGGAGGCAGAATTCCTTACTGGTCCCTGAAACAGTATATTTTATGCTCAGAGGAATGAAATCTAATTAACCTTATGCTATAATCTACGCTTGCACATCCACAGAATTTACTGATGGCTATGAAATTATCTTGCCACAGTATTTGACTCACTGACCTCCTGCAGCAGTGAATTCCACCGGTTTCATATATAATGTTGCCAATGGCAGTAAAATTCAGTTTCATTCTCTTGCGTTACCCAGTGTGAAAAATAACACACTGCTAAAAACCAGCCCTTTATTTGGACTTGTTGTGAAAGAGAGAGAGAGAAGTGCTACAAAGACAGATTAATTTAACAGAAATGTTCTTCTGTCTTAACACCAGGGCACAATCCAAACTTGTTGAATTTGTCAGTAAACGATGCTGGGTGGCTTTGATAGATTTTTGGAATAACTAATTGTTCAGGAAGAAATCCAGATTCATTTATGCTTAATTTATGCTTATCCAATTTGAACAAGAGAGCTGGGGATGGCCCACATTTAATAGCCTCAGATTAGGCTCTTCAGCGGGAATGTTTGGAGTTTTCTGAGGCCTGAAGGGAAATTACCACTAGTTTATCTGATTCATTGAGTCATAAAGTCAGATGAGCTGAGCACTTCCCCCCTGGGAAGCCAACATCCTTCAGATCCTGAGTGCATGGAGCTGCTTCGCATGTGGAAGCTCAAACAGATTCTGTGCCTGGTGATTTTGAGAAGATCTGGACCAATCTTTGAGTTGCCTGACTCTCTTGTTGGCAGGATGGGTGTTTTGAAAGAATGAATGCAACAAGACTTTGAGATTTCCAGACACTGGTAGAGAGCTTGCCAGCACTAATGCTCTAATAGCACTCTTTTAAATGCTGGAAAACTGTAGTTGAGCTCCAAAATGTGACACAATATTGTGTGAATACACAGTGCATAGAAAGTGAATTGAAAATAGAGCTACATAGGGTCCACTTCTAGGTAATGTTGAACTCCATCTGAGGTCACTGGGTGCCTTCTTCAGGTGCTTAAATCTCCTCAGAATAAGAGGGAGACTGTACTCAGCTAGCACCAAGTGCATTGCAAATTAAGCACTTGTATCTTCTTTCCCTTGGTGGTCAAAGCATCAGAGATACTTCAGAGGTGAAAAATTGACTGCGACTAATGTCATTCTGGAAATGGAGGCAGAATTCCTTACTGGTCCCTGAAACAGTATATTTTATGCTCAGAGGAATGAAATCTAATTAACCTTATGCTATAATCTACGCTTGCACATCCACAGAATTTACTGATGGCTATGAAATTATCTTGCCACAGTATTTGACTCACTGACCTCCTGCAGCAGTGAATTCCACCGGTTTCATATATAATGTTGCCAATGGCAGTAAAATTCAGTTTCATTCTCTTGCGTTACCCAGTGTGAAAAATAACACACTGCTAAAAACCAGCCCTTTATTTGGACTTGTTGTGAAAGAGAGAGAGAGAAGTGCTACAAAGACAGATTAATTTAACAGAAATGTTCTTCTGTCTTAACACCAGGGCACAATCCAAACTTGTTGAATTTGTCAGTAAACGATGCTGGGTGGCTTTGATAGATTTTTGGAATAACTAATTGTTCAGGAAGAAATCCAGATTCATTTATGCTTAATTTATGCTTATCCAATTTGAACAAGAGAGCTGGGGATGGCCCACATTTAATAGCCTCAGATTAGGCTCTTCAGCGGGAATGTTTGGAGTTTTCTGAGGCCTGAAGGGAAATTACCACTAGTTTATCTGATTCATTGAGTCATAAAGTCAGATGAGCTGAGCACTTCCCCCCTGGGAAGCCAACATCCTTCAGATCCTGAGTGCATGGAGCTGCTTCGCATGTGGAAGCTCAAACAGATTCTGTGCCTGGTGATTTTGAGAAGATCTGGACCAATCTTTGAGTTGCCTGACTCTCTTGTTGGCAGGATGGGGAGCCTCTGCACCTGGTTTCAATGCTCCGAAACTCTCCTGTTGGAACCAGGCTCATAATCTTTCACCACCATGACACCTATATTAGCAGCCAATTAGCAAGTATTCTGGATCAGGAGAGACAGCACTGCTACTTGTCATTAAGATTGCCCAGATGTACTTTAGCTGTTAAGAAATTAGTTAAAAATATAGATCCCTGAGATTAATTGTTCTGTGGTGGGTTTTCTCAAGAAGAATAATTGTGGAGTTTTACTGTACCAGTTTGAGAAATTGTCTGTTTTGGGAGAGCAACTTCAGTGATATAATAAATGTCATATACCCTTTCTTTGCAAAGGACTGCTATTTTAATGGACAAAATAACCCGGCAAATCAAAAATATTAACATGCTATGATATAACAGTAAATAGTTACATCTGGGGATTCAACTTCCAAGACCTGACAGCCTGCTTAATACCACCACTACCAAGATCTTTTTAAGGATATTTTTTCTTGCTTAGAGAGAGGAGAAGAAAGGGGAAAGAGTGAAAAACTCTGAAATTTAAAGTGTTGAGGAAGGACTTTTAACAACAACCAATCTTTTCCCTTAGGCTAGAGGATATCTTAAGTATTTATTTACTTTTAAAGGAAACCACCCTGTTTGACAAGCTGTTGTGTTACACTGAAGGCAGTGCTAACTGTCTTTTTGAGCAAAAGAGATAAAATTAGTTGAGATGGGTCTGGAACTGCTGTTGTGGAATCCTTTTTGCTTGAAAACAAATAACAAATACACAGAAGGAGAGGGAAGAGAAGAACAGAGACAGCAATTGCAGCTTCTGTTTCTTAGGCTTTTAACTGCCACCTCACTGCTGCAGAGAGACTCTTACCAGCCACACCACAGTCTGACCAAATTGTACCATTGTCAAGTCAAGCCATTGTTTTCTGCTTGTTTTGTTGTGGTATTTTTTTCATTGGCAGGTTTGCGTCTTTGTGACTGAGTCAGGCTCTTACTGATGGCAGAGAGCAAAGGAAAAGAAGAGGCTGGAAACTTGAGAAAAGAAATAACAACAGGAACTCACTTCTCATCACACTTTCTAACTAGCCTGCAGGACTTAGCTAGAGCTCATGTGAACCCAGCAATGTCATCTGGGTTTTTTCTTCAGCTATATCTCTCAGCATGTGGATAATCAAGGAAAAAGCTAGTGGGTCAGCCAGGGGGATCAAACTGACTTTGCCCCAACCATCCATTGTCCTAGAATCCGTGTCAAATTATAGACTCCAACAAGCAGTGATGGATGGAAAAGCCATAAAGAAATAAATAATTCTGTCCCGAAAGCAGGTTTTGAATAATATACAGTAAATGAGTGAGGGGCCACATGCTGAGAAACCAGCATAAATACTGAATACCTAAACAGCTATTAATGAGCGTTGCCCATCTGGTATACAGGCTGAGGCAGGGGTCCTGTGAAAAATAATAGCATGTGGCCATGTAATTTAAAAAATGTATCATAATATATATGCACAGCAAGCTCATATTAAAATTGCCTAGGCAACCTTTGTTCTTACATATCCTTAATTTTGGAGAGCATGGCTCTGCAAAATTTGTAATAATATTTTTCTGTAGGACTTTGGAAGCTCTCTCTACACACCAATTTCATCTTCAGTGCAATATTGGCCTGCATAATGACCAAAGCGCTGATTTGGAAGTGGAGATGAGAGCTTATTCAAGGTTCTGTAGTAGCAAAACTTTAAAATTTTTCTTACTGAATCATTTCTTGCATGCAGTAACATCAAATACAAGGAGGAAGCATTAGAAAAGCAGAAAAAAGGTGAAATAATTGCAGGAGAATATAAAAGAATAGTATAAAAATGCAGGGGGACAAGAAGAAACAGTAAGGCACAAAATGAGGTTCAGTGGGAGGATACACAAGTGATGATTAGAAAATCATTGCTGTAACGATGCAATAAATGCATTTTTAAAAACTTTTCTTGCCGTTCTTTCTGTGCCTTGCTAATCATGCCTGATTCAGAAGCCTGGTCTTTCTGATTCTGTTCCAGGGAAAACACTAGGCACCTTCTAAAGAGGAAGGAAAATATTGAAAGGTGGTGCTTAGAAAACTATTTTTCACCCCTTTTGCTACTCTTCACTAAAAAGGCCAGCTCTGGAACAGCAGCTAATAAAGTCAACACAATGGGAAGCACAGAAAATAATTCAGGCTAGAATTGGAAAAGTGTTGGAAAGAGATGACTTAAATGAACTGTATTTTCAGATCAAAATGACCAAATAAAATTCATCTTAGAATGTTTTAGAAACTGCCAAAGCAATCACAAAGTAATCAGCAATGTGGGAGGTGAGGCAAGGTTCAAGAAGACCTGAGAACAGTAATTATAGAGTCTACACTTGAAAAGAACAGAAGGGTGGAGTTGGGAGTTACTCAGCAAAATCACAGCAAAATACTAGAATAAATAATCAAACTATTTGCAAACAATTTAATCACTGCCAGAATAAAACACAAGTTGAAAGGTGCGCACATCACACCACATTGTGAAGGGCTTCCATGAGCATGACTGCCTGATACAGAAAACTTGCCTTAAGACATACCTTTTTTTTTTACAAATATCTCTTATTTTTCTTGCAGACTGCAGCCCCTCTGCCCCATTGATGGTCGATTTGGACCCCGCAGCCAGGACGAAATCCAGCTGCGAGCTCTGCAGTTCAAGAGAGGATTGCTCCATGAGTTCCGAAAGGGCAATGCCACCAAGGAACAGATACGACTGCACAATCTGGTTCAGCAGCTTCCCAAGGCCATTATCATTGGGGTTCGGAAAGGAGGCACCAGAGCACTGCTGGAGATGCTGAACCTTCACCCCGCAGTGGTCAAAGCTTCTCAAGAGATTCACTTCTTTGACAATGACGAGAACTATGCCAAGGGGATTGAGTGGTACCGGAAAAAAATGCCTTTTTCTTACCCTCATCAAATAACAATTGAGAAAAGCCCCGCGTATTTTATCACTGAGGAAGTACCTGAAAGGATTTACAAAATGAACTCATCTATCAAATTACTGATCATTGTCAGGGAACCTACCACAAGAGCTATTTCTGATTACACTCAGGTGCTAGAAGGTAAGGAAAGAAAGAACAAAACTTACTACAAATTTGAGAAGCTGGCTATTGATCCTAATACCTGCGAAGTGAATACTAAATACAAGGCGGTGAGAACCAGCATCTACACAAAACATCTGGAGAGATGGTTAAAATACTTCCCAGTCGAGCAGTTTCATATCGTGGACGGAGACCGGCTCATCACAGAACCACTGCCAGAACTCCAGCTGGTCGAGAAGTTCCTAAATCTTCCTCCAAGGATAAGTCAGTACAATTTATACTTCAATGCCACCAGAGGGTTTTACTGCTTGCGATTTAACATTGTCTTTAACAAGTGCCTGGCGGGTAGCAAGGGACGCATCCATCCAGAGGTGGATACCTCTGTCATTACCAAATTGCGCAAGTTCTTTCATCCTTTTAATCAAAAATTTTACCAGATCACTGGGAGAACATTTAACTGGCCCTAAATTAAACTTCATACAACACTTTCTGTTGCACCTGAGACATGCAATAAATGTCTCTGCTAAAATATGCACTTTTCATAGACACAGCTATCAAAGTAACTTTTTTCATGCATACGTGTATATATGCAGTGTGTGACCAAATATATGGTGGGATCAATTTTTTCTACAGAGTAGTAACTAACATAAATTTACTGTCAGCATAGTTGCATCTTTTAAGATATAATAATAAAGGGAAAGGAGGTATTTAGGGACATAAAGTCAGACACCGTTAAAAGGGTCAGTGTTCCTCTCGCTTAGTGAAGTGTTTCTGTGACATACTTATTGATCTAAGCAGAACGTCAGTTTATGCCATAAAAATTCATGTCAAAAGTCTGTGAAGCTGTGAGAAAACATAATCTTCAGGCTATATTTGGTATGTATATTGCTAAAGGAATACTGACACTTTAAACACAGCGCTGAATTTTTACAACGAGAGTGGATAGTACTATTTTCTTATTATTTGAAATTAATATCTTATCTCATACAAACTACATTGTTTCAGAGTTCCTGTGGTGAGTTTGCACTATTGTTTTATTGTATGGACCATAGTGTCACTTGTAGCATGTCAATCATGTGTCAAAAAAAGGTCAAATAATTTTTTCTTCTATGCTTGTGTGTCGGCAAAGCTAAACATCGTGTACATAGTGTACAATGTTTGTAAATACTGGTTTCACACTAAGTAATTCTATTTTGTAAACTGAATATGGCTATTTAATTTATTGTGAAAATTAAATTTATTGTGGTATTTAAAAATGGAATGGATTAAAATTACCTATATGTGCAACAACTTTTCACCTTTGCCTGATGTACATCAGTGTGGTCCCTTACCCCAGGCAAATTATGTGCAAACATGTGAGAGAGAGCTGCATGTGTACACTTGCTTTCTAGACAGGTGATAAAACTGATACATGTGCTAAAGCTGAGTTTATTAAAAAACTCATCCATCTGGGAATCTGGTGCAATACACACCTCAAAGAACATTATTGTTATTCTATTGCAGCACTTTGCTAGAATTAATTCAGTTGCAGTAGCCCATGAGGCTAAAGAATGACTGTAAAAGATTACTGTAACCAGGTATATCAGAAACGCAGAGCCACTATTAAAAACTAAATGACAAACAAACAAACAAGATTAGAAGAATAGAGATTTCATCAGCAAAAGCTGATGATGTTTCAGAAGTCAGGGAAAACAATTTTTATCTTATGCACCTAACTTATGCACCTACTCCAAACAACCAACCACAGCGTTGTTATTCCTAGTATAAACACATGGCTCATGTTTCCATTCAGTAAGTGACAAGAAATTAGTTCAGGAAATGAGTATTTTCATGCTTTATACATTGTATGGCTCTTAAAGATTCATAAGAAAAAAAATAAAAGCCATTGAAAAATGTCTTTTAGAATATGAAAAGAAAGAAAGGAAGAAAAAAAAAATCCCAGCTACTTTAAAACCAACATCTAAAGATTGATGGGGACACAGATTTTGGAAGGTATCCAGAACATCTGAATATTCTGAGCTATGGAAGAGAGTAGCTGGTAGTTCAGATTATAATACGATCGAGTTTTCCCTGTGGGCTGTTTATCTTGCTCAGTGATTTGGAAGCATCAGTTTTCTAAATAAGTGATTTTTAAATCTCTTGTGAGAGATTGCTACTTGTCTTGCTGTATCTTTAATCATATGTGCTAGCACTGTGAGCAATGTGCCCTTTCTTCGTGCTGCTTCGGAGCCTTGCCAACACAACACGGTAGAGCATATGTGAAATTTTCCGCAGTAGCTACAATACTACTCACTGTTTTCCTGTATGAGAGCCATTTATCCTGCCCACATCCAGGCATAAAGGCTGAGGCGTTTAACTTGTCTAATAGTGTTCAAAGCGGAGATTTTATCCAATTTAACATTTGCACCATCTTCAGTTGAGCAGATTCCAGACAGCTTTGGGTGATACCTACTGGCTACATATAGTCCCGGCTACAAACTGCAACTGAAGGCTGAGATATATTTTCAAATGAAAGGGAAAAATTAGGCCAAAGTTACCTCTAAGCATGAAATACGCTTTTGAAATTAAAATCTCTCTGCATTGATCAGAAGAATCACAGATACTGTGATCTAGCAGGCACGCCTATGCATATTCCTGTTAAAGTGAGCTGGCTTAACTCCAGTGGATCATTTTCAATTTGGGAGACACACGGATAAATTTAGGCAGTATCTTAGACAAATCTGGTTCAAAAAAGCACAGAGGAATCGTCACGAATAGCAGCAGAGGAAAGAGGGTTCAGAGGCATTGCAATGTATTAAGAAGCCTAAAAGAGCAGGAGACTGATTCACTGAGCCTTCAGTGCAACATCCTCAAGTCTTTCTTGACGTCACCTACTGAACAGAAAATTTCAGAGCTGGTTCTTAATACACGGATCCAAAGCACACTCCTAGGTTAATGGGAATTTTGCTGCTGTATTTATAACCGGTTTGAGGAGTTCTGACCTTATGGTATTTACCTCTTCAGGAACAATTTGTGAATAATTCATTTCAGCCTCTTTGCTTTGCTTCCCAAATCCTGAGTGAATCATTTCTATTCAAATTGATCATGAGTGTTCAGACTGGGAAGAGTGCTCATAGCTTAAGTTTATGATTGCAGAGTGATGCACTGCTATATGAAGTTGCAGCTGTTAACTTATGGCATTCAAGTTCTCTAAAGACATTGCATCTTTCATATTTTCTGTACCGTAAAATTGCAGGCTTCACAGCTCTGATAAATGTTTAGATTAAAACTGCTAATATTTCTGTGCATTTTTATCATATTGTCCCAGCTGCTATTTAAACTACAGAACAACAATTTTCAGCATAAAAGAATATCAGAGATGAATTTAAAATTGTATTTTCAGAAATCAGTGTGTAGGTAGATAAAGGACTGACATTTGGAGATCAGCAATTCATTTACCATTAACCCACTATAGTGCCTTTTGTTAATGAAAGCAGAATAAGCATGATGAAAATGTATAAACTTTATTTTGATGGATTCTTTTTTTTTGCCATGATGCCTAAGAATACAAAAGACACAACGTTTCTAGCCACATATTTCAGTGTATTAGTCCAAGATTTTTAACAGGCTTTGGGCACAAATGGAAACACAGAAGGCCCTGTTTGAATATCAGGAAAAAAATTTACTGCTAGGTTGACTAAGCACTGGCACAAATTGCCCAGAGAGGCTGTGGAGCCTCCATCCTTGGAGATATTCAAAAGCCACCTGGACACAGCCCTGGGCAACTGGCTCTAGGTTTCCCTACATGATCAGGGGTTGGACACCTCTTCTAACCTCAATCATTCTGTGAAGATCTGCCTCTACCATTAACATTCTTAAGTATTGCCCATCAGTGCAATGTTACACAGACCTCAGAGAAGGTCCAATCCCAGTGTCACAAACCAGTGCAATCACTGTCCAAACCCAAGCCAAAGCACTACTGTGCAGGTTTACTCCCCAGCTAGCTAAACTAACACATATGGGGAGCCTGTGCAACTTATTGGAATGCTCTGATCGGTGAGGATGAGGGAGTGACTTGGAGAAATCTTTCTTCACATCCTGGATGGCCTCAGCAGTGATGCTGAGTGACAGAGGATATAATAATACAAGTTCCAGAGCAGGTAAACTTCCAGATAAGAAAATTTAGTGAAGCTCTTTTCAAGAAGCTCACAGTGAACAATGTCTCTTGCATGGCATTCTCTACAGCAAGACACTGAGATACCCATAAACTTGAGACAATACAGCCACGTAAACTTGTTTCGTAGATGCATAATATTGACATTTTCTGCAGTTCCAAATTATCTTAGCAGCTACTTATACTGGACATATGCCTTAGGGATACATCCAGAACGTGCGGGATGATGAGTGAATACAAAAGATTCATGTCTGGATACATGTGGTAACGATTTAACTTATTTTGTTTCTCCTTTGATTTGAAGTTATGTGTAAGAGTAAAGTGTAGATCATAATTTGAAGAATTATGAAAAAGAAAAGTTTAATCAATACACAAACTCATGACAATAAAGTTCTGGAGAAACTTCCTTTCCCTGTCCTCCATATAGGCTCCCTGACAGAAATGAGACTTTCTGAAATCATGATTTAGCAAGCTAGATCTATTTTACTCTAAACAATCACATGTTAGCAAAGGTGAAAGAGTAAAGCTTCTGCAAAATTACTGGGATCTGGTTTATGTGAAGCTTTCAAATGATGCTTTCATAACAGATGAGACTTTACTAATTAAATTCTTGCGTACCTGTCCAAGGGGGTAAGCTCAGAAATTTCATGAGTTTTAGGCTTTTCTGAATTCCACAGTTTTTAGTTTGATGGAATAAACTTATTGTTAAACTGGGATACCTAATCCCATGCTGAAATTATTGCATCCAGTTATTGAGCAGACATGATTTCACACATGCTCCCACGAGGCAGGGTGAGTGCTTTAGCAAAAGGTGTTTGCTTGCAGTTTAACTGATATATCAAACAGAAGTTTCATCATTCCAGCAATAGCATACCACTGACATGAATTATCTACATCTTTGGAGAAGACCAAGGATAGAGCCATCATTGGAAGGGATTTTTAATACTCACTTGAAAAATTTCAAGGTCCAGCTTCTCCTAAGGCAGCTAATGTTGGAGCAAGGATAATGCATAAGCATCTTTTGTTAATGACAATCTAAAAAATCACTGTTGCTAGTTTTGGTATAATAATTTAGAGGCCTGCAGTAACCAGGAAGTAATCAGGAAGTTCATAAGTGGCATCTTGATGAAGAGGAGGTCAGGAGCTGAACATCTCTCTGCTTTCATTCAAAATGAGACAAAATGCTATTTCTTTTTTGCATAAAAACAACAAAATCAGGTTTGTAGAAGGACCCTGCAATGCCATGGCAATTGAAGTCAACCCAGCTGATGCCTGCCAAGGTCCCAACCTCCCTGCCCACGTACGTTCTCTTTCCCTTTCTTTTGCACTGACTCTCATGCTCCTTTCACATGGAGCAGCTTCAGTTCACTATGCAAGCAGAAGACTAACCCGAACCTAAAAAGGTGAGTAATGTTACTAAATCAGTACTGGGTTAAAGCAACAGTCTTTTCAAACCAGGTTCTGTCACTGGAAGTGGCCAACAGCTAATGCCTCAAGAACATAAGGAAAGCATGGACACATTTCCAGGCTTCAGTGGTTTGCAAACATTGGATGACTTGAGTGGAATCTGAAGTGCAATCTTCAGAGGTAACAGTACTGGGTGCCTTCCTCTTCTGCGTAGTTATCCAGAAATCCCTTGAACCCATTGACCAGCTGTTTCACAGCTGCACTCTAAACACTCCTATGTTACCAATTTGCAAGAATAGATGTATGAAATGAATCAGAGAAGTTTGGGTAGTACCTTTAAAATCTGAAAATGAATATGCTGGTATGGTAATAGAAGTATTATTGTCCTTCCCAACTCACTTTGAAAATGTTATGGCTTGTTTTCTTAGTTTCTCAAAAAAAAATACTTGCCACACTACTTTAAACTTACTGAAGATCCCTGAGTAGACTTGGTCTTCAGATTTGTAAAAGACTGCAGAAACAGATTAAATGGTGGTAAATTTTACTTTTTAAAGAGCTTGTTTGCAGAGAAAAGGGCTTCAGGTAAATGCTTTGAAGAGATTTTTAATACTAATACCAAACATTTTTTGTTATTGTACCTGTCAGGTGCAAGGAGATCGACTGGCTACTGGGTCACAGTCTTGTTAGCCTTCTGCTTCAGTTTATCGTTTTTATTGTTTAAGATTTA